AATTACTCGGTGAATAATTTCGTTGGGAGGATAAATGACGCGTCAAGCGTCTCGTCGCGTTACTCGGATCCGTGCGCAATTTAATTAATCCGTTGATCACGTATTCTCTCGAACTTGGAGGATTATCGACGGGGGATGTTGAAGGGTTCGGCGAAGTGTACTTACGGAAAAATCGAGTTCCTTCGGCAGAGCTAAGTACATCCTGGCCACGTGGAACTTCAACGGATAAGGCGGTCTGTCGTCGAGTTCCTGGTGAATTTTTCCATTGGTGGTGGTGTTGAGCTCTTTGCAGAGGGTACTCGAGCCCAGCCAGAAGCCGTTCCCGAAATGGAATTGCGAGGAGTAACGGCCGCTCGCGTCTGACACTGTGAACGAAGAAAGGAGAGAAAAGAAAAAAATGAAGAATCGAACGCGATAAAAAAGAATATCAGCTCTCTCTCTCTCTCTCTCTCTCTCTCTCTCTCTGTCCCTCCTTTGTGTCTGTTCGAAAGGGTCGGGCGAGCTGTCCACTGAAAAATTTCTCTCTCGAACCCTCGGCGGTATTTTTTTGCCATTTGTTTCAGTCGCAAAAAAAGAAGTTCCTTCTCTCGTGTTTTTCTCTTTTCTTTTTTTACGCCGGGTCGAAAGTTGCGCAAAATTGCCGGAGCTGCAGTTCTCGAGGGTTGGATTACACGACCACGCCTGGGAAGGTTCATTGTCAGTTACGTAAAGTGCCAGCTGGTGACCACAAGAGTAGAGAAAGTGTAGTCGTCTGTCGACGCTCGAAACAACGACCTACTGCCGACAGACGACGTAATTTCGCATGAATCCCGAGTCGTTCGAAAGCGTGACCCATTCGGATATCAGACGCGACAACCGAAATGACGGGGAGCAAGTTTCTCCTACGACAATGCTGGCTTACTTATCGAATCGATCTGTAATTAACGCGATTCTATGACGACAGAGTGGCGATCGGTCAGACGTGACGAGGATTTGAAACGGTCGTGGAGCTGGCCGGCGCAGTTTCAAGATTGCATCTAACGCGAATTCGATAGGTCGAAGGAGTAGTTTCGTGCAGCTGTTTCTGTAAAAGTTGCGCTTCTCAATTGGCTGACATACTTGTTGGCTTTTCGCGATTTCAAACCGTTTAATATCTCGCAATTTCCGACCGTACGTTACATCTACCGCCGCTGAGTTACAATTTTCACCTATCGCGACCAGACGCGTACAATGTACTCTGTTCTCTTTTCATCGTCGTTCTTTCTCCTTTGTCGTTGATTTTTCCGCGAAAATTCTCATTCAAGAGTCCCGCCGTGTATGTTTCTTTCTTTTTGTGCCAATTCTGCAACGTAGAATTTCGAAACTGCGTGTTCGCCGACCTTTAGCGCTGCCGTTTGTTCCGGCGTTATCAAATATCGAAGAGTGACGTAAAAGTTGTGCACACGTGTAACTCCCTCCCTATCGTTCAACTTGCCACCGCCTACATGCTACAACCGGGCAATTTACGTGCTGCGACAGGTAGAAAGAAAGGTAACCAGCAGCGTGGGCGGTAACTATTTCGGAGATTAGATTAGAACGTAAGAATTGATGCATCCCGCGAGCGAAATCTCCAGTGATGGAAAAACGCAGGACTTTTCCACGACTTCTTACCCCGCGATATTTATCTCTCCTCCCACGCTGCATATCGCAGCGAGCACGACGCGTCTTCCTAAAAGGGATCTGAAACGGTGTGTCAGAGAGGATTTACGCCGCGGCGAGAAGTGAATGTAGCCGCGCAAATTTTCCGCTCAATTTTCGCGTCGATAACCCTCCTCCAGGCTGTGCTTCTTACCGGAAGCAGCCGCGAATCTGGAAACTCGTGGGATTTCTATCTATTCACAGCGACTCGAGACGTCCTTTCTGCGCCTATACCTATCCACCGATAGCGATCTTCTGACCCCTCATGCTGGAATTTGAACTCCGCACAGCGGAGAAACCAACGCGATCCATCGCGTTCGAAGGCATTCGTCGCCTATGACACGCCGAGTTATCGCGTTGATCTACGAACGCGACGTCCAAAGCTGTTCGATTCACCGGAGAAAAATGAGTCTCAGGCGCCATTTACCATGATGCATCGACGGAGTCTGCCTTGAAAGTAGCGATAAATTCAGCTAATTGTAGCATTTGTTAGGGGGGAGAATTTAGCGGGCGATTAAAACGGAGGTTTATCCGCGCGATAAGGAATCAAGATAAGGGGGCTGTTATGAAAGAAGCGGCGTTCGGTGTTCGCCGTGTGGCTCCGCGGTAAATCAAATTATATAAAGCGTGAGCGGTTCCGCGGTATAGAAAGCAAATCCATCTGCAACGTGTGTGCTTGGCGCCGTTCGCGAAACGGGTGAATGCCACGATTTATGGAATTGCGTAACATTGGGTGTCGTTGAATGCCACTAGTAGGACTTTGGACATCGCGGGTCAGAGTTGAAACATATCCCGCGGAAAACATGCGAACGATCGTCGAAACGGGACAGAGTCTCGTTCCTTCCGTTGGATGGTAACGTCGAAACGAGTCGGAAGAAGGAAAGTGTTACAAGTGTGGTCGACGCGTTGGTTAACTTCCATCGTGATTTACGGCAATAACTTTGCATCCTTAACGCTGAGCGCGGTGTCTCTGACTCGAGACACCGTAATGGAATGTCCATTCGGCGTGGCTTTTTGCCTGGCGACGTCAAGCCGCAGGAATTTCTCGTATTTGTTTTATCCCGGGCACCGCTCGACGGTGGCACAGCCTCGAAAGTTCATTTTCGTCCGTGTTGATTCCGGCAACAGAGCAGAAGGGAACGCGACAACAACCGCCTAACTATTACGAGCTGGTAGATTGCAGTTTCGCGAAGTAACGACGCGTTTGGCAATCCGGCCTGCCAGCGACACAGCACTCTGGAACTTAGCGAACCATAAATTTCTGCGAACAGCGAAAGCACGCGGTGTAATCTGTCGATAGTGGGTCCAGCGAAACGTGTGTCGCCTTGCCGGAGTCTCGCAGGCGTTGGTTGTTAATCGCGTAACGATAGGAAGCGCTCTCTACTCACTCTTGGCCGCCCACACCTTTCCATCCTGTAGAGACCTCAGGAAGAATTCCAAGTCTCTCCTGCAATCGTCCTTCAGTTTACCAGGTACCCTGGCCCACTTGAGAGGATCGTAAAGATCCACCAGCCACTGGATACTGTTGGCCGTTTTCTCGAGCTTCTCCTTCATGAAATCAACGTCGAGATCGCGGTGCTCCTCTTCCTTCTCGTCGAATTGCTTCAGATAGTTCTTCCAGTCCAATTCTGGGTTGTTCTTGCTAAATCCAATTAAAGGACCACGATTTTTCCCCTTTCCACCTGGCTTCTCCTCCTCGTAGTCGGTTGTATTTAAAGTCGAGTTCTCTGTCGTAACGATCGATTTGTCCCGTGACTTTCCAATTCGTAGAATATTCGACTCGTTCTTCGAAACTGTCGTATGCAGGATACAACTCAGGATGAATAGGAGAGATAGGGGAAAAGGAGCCATTTTTTGGCGATTATATCCTTGTTACGGTGGCCTTCTTATTTCGCTACTTTACTTTCCACTTTGTACACTGCGGAACGGCGATCGATAATTTCATCGATTTCTCTGGAGGAAATTTATAGACGTCATTTTAAATTACGACAGTGGTCGAACCTGCTACAATGGGCAATTTTCTCTCTCTCTATAGCTCAATTGTTCAGATCGCCGAGCATGTCCAAGAATGAGAACGCAGGAGGTTGGCGCGTTTACGACCTTAGAACCGGACTCACTTTCGTTTCTCACTAGCCACCTATTCCACGCTATTCCCGTGCCAATGGCTGGCCGATCGAATTATCTCGAATCAACTGCACCAATTTTCGTTTGCCGATGATAATGGGGGAAAAGTAGAAAAGCGACACGAAGATCAAGACGAGACGGCGAGGCGATGTCTCGCGATGCATCAGAAAAATCAAAAGTACAAATCCACCGTCGAATTCTACGATCACTCTGTCGTCGCCGGAGAAACGGAAAAAAAAATTCAAGTTGGTCCTACGAGAGGACAAAAGTGGACGCACACACGAGGCTAAGGATCACGCACTGAATGAAGCGAATCAAGTTAGCAGTCGCGTTTACCCGCAGACACCGGGGTCCCCCTTTCTCTCGACGATATACTTTACCGCGGTAAATGCATTTCCTTCTTCGGGGCTTCGTCGAGCCACTGTCGCGACTTGTCTCCTTCCAAACCAAATCTCTCGATAAATCCTTCCACCGGGGAGGCCACTCTCCGTATTTACCTAATCCATTCACCATTTCGTTCCTATCTTCCTCGTTCGATCGAACGCCTTAATCGCGTGTCATTTTCACGTCAAGAGTTCACGTTGCATATTCGTAATTATTTCCTCGAGTGGTGGTCGTTGGTGCAACAATCTCAACTTTTTCCCATTCGCCGCTAAATTACGCTTGTTCCTTGCGAAACCCTCGAACGTTGTGCTTGGTACAATTATCGAGGATGCTGCGGGGTCTGTTGCTCGGGTCGAATAATGGAGAAACGTTGCGACACGGTTCGGCTTGAACAGCACGTACGAGCGTGAATAGTTTTTCGTTGATTAACAGTGTTTGGAGAAAGCGAGTATTACGTCTATTACTCGAGTTACGAGCTCTGTTCTCGCTCGTTTACGTGCTAGTTAAATTATCGTCTGTGGTTTTCTCCGCTTATGCGTGCCCCTTCGATAAATTGAAGTGTATAAAAGCAGCGGAGAGTTAATTCGTACGATAAAGTCCGCGAAATTTTATCACCACGTGATAAAGTAGCTTTACTAGATCTAACGTCGCAGGACTCGCGTTTGCGGCGAGAAAATGGGGAAACGAGCATTTCCATCGCGACAGGAGAAAGGGTGGACGGTTTTTCGCGGTTCGTGACGTTCCCTGTTGCTCTAGGTAAAATACGCGGTGGGGTTTTGCAAGTCACATTTCACCGGATAACGATGCGAAAGAAAAAAAACCCCGGCCAACCCTGTTTCACAGTGACGGTGAAATTCGTATTTCACGCGATCGTTGGCCGGATATCAGCTGGCCACCTGTTTCTCCTCGACTTTTCCGGTGAAACTGGCAAATTAAGTTGCTCCTTCTCTCAAAAGGAAATGCTTAAACGAAATGCGCGTTCGAGTCGTTTAAATTTTCTCCGCGAAATTGGATCTTCCTTCCTCGAGTCTCTCTTGGACTCGACGGTGAAAATTTCATAAAATCTCTTCCTCTCTCTTTCTCTCTGTGCGAGAACCAAGAATAAGGATCCTCGTGGTTACTCGGGCAAAAGAGATTCGGGGAACGAAATTTCCTTTTTTCCAGAAACTTTCTCCGCCTCGGAGTTGAACAACTGTATCGCGGAAAAGGTGGAAAAAAGCGAGAGATGGCTATCGATGTTACTCGTTAAAGCTCGTTAAATCATCGAACGCCGGCGTTGTCGCGCATTTTCACTTTTATCCGAGGTTTACGCAATCGGAAGGCTTGTAAAAGAGCGACGGGAGGATTCTCTCGTGTTACGGAGGGAAGCTTGTGAAGTTTCACCGAATTTCACGATCAGATCGTCTTTCTGTCGGTTTCCCGGGCCGGTTCTTTTCGCCGCGGAAACTCGCCTCTCGAGGTAGATCCGGTTGTTGGTTGCGCAACCGAGCTTTCTACGCGAGTCGCGCGACCGGTCTACGCTCGGAAAGGGGGAACTGGATCTCGAAGGCGCCTCTTTATTGACTTGGAACCGGCGAGAAAGCAATTTACCCTCGATTCGAGGTGACGTTATTGCGATACGCGACACTGCTGATCGCTTGTTCTTCTCGTACGCTGACAATTTGACAGGGGCAGCTTTCCGAATGATCCTCGAGAAGGAAAGAAAAAAATTCTGAAATGATTGGCTCTTTCTCGCAGTCCTTTTTACGTAGAAAAATGTAACTTAACGCTAGATTTACGGACGTTTCTTGTACACCCATCTCTCTGGGCACGTAAGTAGGCAAGTAAGTAGGTGAATTCAGGCTATTTTCACAATTACGTTTTATTGGATTATTTTTGATACGCGAGGAAGGCACGTCTCTACGCGATCATAAGAGATCGGCAAGACGCTGAAGAGAAAAAAGCATATCAGCGTCCACCTCTTCTATATATGCTTATATTAACGTGTTAACTGAGTTCACTTCTCAAACAGAAATTTAATCTCTCTAGTTTACAAATAAAAATGAACAGAAATTACAACTAACTGTTTCAGTTTTCTTCTTGCAAATGTGAATATGATGTATTTTGTATTTAATCCAGGCAAAATTAAACTACTGTGATCTAAGTATTGACGAACCAATGACGAGTTAACTCGTCTTTCCCAGTTAAAAGGTTAATCTGTATGTTGATCATTTTTGCCGTTACTATTGCACTCGTTCCTCCTAATAATCCAACGCGTTTGAAGGTAGCCTAGAGTTGAGAGGGAATTTGGAATAGTACAAGACGCTTTATTGGACGGTGTAATATTTTTTCGCGGAATTGGTTCATTTTCACTCGAGGGATATAGAGCGCGGCAATATTGGCGCATATTTGAATCGGATCGTAACCTGGAATCGGCCAGGCTTAAAGATCGCATATGGAGGAGTGTGGCGAAGAAGGTTCCCCTTGGAGAATCGGGCTGTGCATAAAATATTCTTTTGACAAATATTGGAAGTGCATCGACTGTGGTGAAATTGTTCAGCCGGGCAGAAAAATGATATTGGACATCTTTTCGAGAGGGAAATAGTTGGAAGGAAGTCGTAACGCAAATACGTACATGTTAGTTACGAGGTAATACAATGCAAAACACGTGTGCAGACGGTGGAGTTTGCAAATGCCATGCACGAGGAAGTGAAAGTCAAAGTATCGGCGGAAAACTTTTCCATCGTGATTTCCAAATGCCTCTTTTCACTTACCGAGTTTCTCTCCTGCCTCGAGCTGATCGAATCTTATCCCGAACATCAACCGTCGAAAGAAACTTCTACCGCACCTGCGGTCGATAAGGTAGCTGAAATGGTTATCGATTACGTAGTATACTTTCTGGACACTTAGTACACAGGGTTCTCCTGTAAAGGCGCTTTCAAACTGCGACGGTATTTTCTGCTTCGATACCGATCTATGTTAAATTTTCTAACAAATTTAGACACCGATAGGAGAACGAAATTCGTTTATTTTTAATTACACGATGGTTGCAACATTTAGATAGACCGTTTCGGAATACATTTGGATAATATTATTTTACAATACGATGTATACGATGTTTTATCGAATCGTTTAATTAAATACGATTTTTTAATCAGCGTTTATCAGTTGATAATTACTATTCTAAATATAGCCACGTGGAAGGATTGTTATATCGAATTTTGGGAGAGTTCAGACAAGTCAGGATGGCCGAGCGGTCTAAGGCGCTGCGTTCAGGTCGCAGTCCACTCTGTGGGCGTGGGTTCGAATCCCACTTCTGACAAATCAATTTTTTTTTCCTCTTCTACATTTTTTATCACTCGTGCAGATCAGGTTTCTTGCTAAAAACCGCGATAAGCGATGGACTACGATAGCAGGATCGTAAAAGCGATAATAAACCGATGGGAAAAATGATTTCCTGATTGCTAAACGAAAAACTATTAAACGAAACAGAGCAAGAAGCCGGTACATCGATAGTAGCAATCGAGAAATGCAATCTTGGAAGGTTACCGATCCCTAACTGCGATTACACAAATATTTCTATATCTCCGGTTAAACTATCCTCACTTGGAACACACATGTACATTTTACGATTTCGATATTCACGATGGCATAGCGATGCTGGATCTAACTGTTCCAACGTGTAAACAGTTAAACAACCGAGAGAAAAGTGCTTGAGATCCTCTCTCTCGGCAGAGAGGAGCACTGTTCACCGTTTGATCGATGAGGCGTTAGCACGAATCGTCGTCGTGGCGAATTTGTACGATCCCCGTGGTGGACTCTGGTACGATCTAAGCAACACGAGATCGTGTTGGCGAATTCTTAAGCAGAGTCGTCGGTTGCACGACTAAATCGCCGGAGAGTCAGGGCGACTGAGCGCTATCGATAGGAGAACAAGTGCGGTTGGGTCTAGTCGCGAGAATGCGGCAATAAAACGACAGAGTTCCATATGTTCGCCTCTTTTTGTTCATTTGGTATCGGAGCTGGTCGCGCGCGATTCGATTTGCACGTAAAGCGTGGGAGGGCATTGTCTCGTTTGAGATAGCAAACCGTGGCTGGTTCGGCTTATTGGTTTACGCGGTCCAATTAATCCCCGCTTGAACCTGTTGCAACTGCATGCGCCGCGATTGCGCAATTCGCTCAAGCGTATCCGCCGATCGACCGATCCAGATCATGTCTAATAAGTCCTCTTCAATTAGCCAACTTTGGCGTTCGCTGTGTTAGTTAGCTAAGTGGTTCGTCGATGCTGCGGCAAGATTTTTAGAGGGAGAGCCACCGTTTGCTTGCCAATTGTTTATCACATAGAGTCGGCCTACCTCCACGT